GGGGGGTAGGGGCAGGGTTCGCACGTGGCCCCCTATTTCCCCAGTTCGGCTTCGCCTCGGGGCTTTTCATTCGTTCGTGCAGAGCTGGCGGGTGCCCGGCGCTGTCGTCGCCGGATTCCCGGGGGGCTCTTCGGGTTCAGCTTCTCGACGGGGGGGTCCCAGGGATCCTCGGCTTTGGCTCCCTGCAAGGGCGCTCCCCAGTGTTCCTCGGTCTTGTATCACAAGGCCTTGCCTGGGTTCTCTGGGTCCTTGGTTCTTGGTCTTGGCTCCCTGTTTCCTTGGCCTTGGTTCTTCGGTTCCTTGGTTGCTTGGTCTGGTTCCTTGGTTTCTTGGTTCCGTGGGTTTGCAGTGCTGGTTCCTCAGTTTTGGCTCTTTGATTCCTTGCTGCCTCGCTACGGACTGCCACGCGATGCAACGCAATGGTAAGCAATGCCAAGCACCGCCACGCACTGCTGGTCGATGCCACGCAGTGCTAAGCAATGCCAAGCACCACCACGCAATGCCAAGCAATGCCACGCAATCTGACTCGCAATATGCCAAGCAATGCCACACAATGCGCCCATGCAGCAGGAAAGGTTCCCTTTATTGGAGTCACGCTGGGTTCATGTTCTATTCTCACCCCTAGAGAACAACTATTGTTGATCCCCCCCAGTGCCCAGTGCTTTTTTCAAGTGAAGTACCACTCCTGGGGCTCGCACATGGTTTCTTCCAAAGGAAGGTTTGGCCCTCAAACTGCGTTCACCGATTACCCCCGAGCTACAACAATAACGGCTCTCTGATTGCGAAGGCCTTACGGTCGGTGCCGCCGACCCAGAAGGGAGACGACGACGACGACGACGACGACGACGACGACCGCGGCGGTGGCGGTGGCAAAGACGACGACGCTGACGTTGGCCAGGGATGGTTCTTGAGGTCTCTTGGGAAGTCTTTCGGGGGCCTCTCGGGAGAAATTTTTGGGCCTCTTGGGAGCCTCTTGGGGGCCTCTTGGGAGCCTTGGGGGGCCTCTTCGGGCTTCCTGGGGACTGGGAAACCTCCAGGGGCCTCCTGGGAGCTTCTTGGGGCCGAGGGCTCGAAATGTCCGTTCGGGTCCCCTGTCTGGGCACGCTCTTGGAGCCGTCTTGGGGGCATCTGGGGCCGTCTTGGAGGCGTTTTGGGCTGTCTTGGGGTCCTCGTGAGCTGTTTGGGGGTCTTCTTGGAGGCCTCTTGGGCCGTCTTGGGGAGATCTTGGGGGCCTCTGGCGTCGTTTTGGAGCGGCGGGAAGTGGAAAAGGCGAGAACACCCAAATCTAAACAATCATCCTGGCGAAGGACCGAACCATATGCAGTTGTGGGTACCGCACTTGTGAATATCTTCTTCGGTAGAGCTCCCAATGGGGCCACGAAGCGCTGCACTGGGTGGGGGGAACGCATGCGGGCGGTAGCACTGGGGCCGTCGGTGGAGCTCCCTATGGGGCCACGAAACGCTGTACTGGGTGGGGGGGACGCATGCGGGCGGTAGCACTGGGGTCTTCGGTGGAGCTCCCTATGGGGCCACGAAGTGGTGTATTGGGCGGGGGACCCATGCGGATGGTAGTCCGGGAACCTTCGGTGGAGCTCCCTCTGGTGCCACGAAACGCTGTACTGGGTGGGGGGGACGCATGCGGGCGGTAGCATCGGAACCTTCGGTGGAGCTCCCTATGGGGCCACGAAACGTGCGAGGGGTGTGCCAAATTGGGTTTTCGGGATGCATGTGGGCGGTGGCACTGGGGTCTTCGGTGGAGCTCCCTATGGGGCCACGAGACGTGTGAGGGGTGTGTCACATTGGGTTTTCGGGATGCATGTGGGCGATGGCACTGGGGCCTTCGGTGGAGCTCCCTATGGGGCCACGAAGCGTGTGAGGGGTGTGCCAAGGTGGGTTTTCGGGACGCATGCGGGCGGTGGCACTGGAGCCTTCGGTGGAGCTCCCTATGGGGCCACGACGCGTGTGAGGGGTGTGCCAAGGTGGGTTTTCGGGACGCATGCGGGCGGTGGCACTGGGGCCTTCCGTGGAGCTCCCTATGGGGCCACGAAGCGTGTAAGGGGTGTGCCAAGGTGGGTTTTCGGGACGCATGCGGGCGGTGGCACTGGGGCCTTCGGTGGAGCTCTCAGTGGGGCCACGAAACGTGCGAGGGGTGTGCCAAATTGGGTTTTCGGGATGCATGTGGGCGGTGGCACTGGGGTCTTCGGTGGAGCTCCCTATGGGGCCACGAAACGTGTGAGGGGTGTGTCAAATTGGGTTTTCGGGATGCATGTGGGCGGTGGCACTGGGGCCTTCGGTGGAGCTCCCTATGGGGCCACGAAACGTGTGAGGGGTGTGCCACGTTCGGTTTTCGGGACGCATGCGTTTGGTGGCACTGGGGCCTTCGGTGGAGCTCCCTATGGGGCCACGAAGCGTGTGAGGGGTGTGCCAAGGTGGGTTTTCGGGACGCATGCGGGCGGTGGCACTGGAGCCTTCCGTGGAGCTCCCTATGGGGCCACGAAGCGTGTAAGAGGTGTGCCAAGGTGGGTTTTCGGGACGCATGCGGGCCGTGGCACTGGGGCCTTCGGTGGAGCTTCCTATTGGGCCACGAAACGTGTGAGGGGTGTGCCAAGGTGGGTTTTCGGGACGCATGCGGGCGGTCCCACTGAGGGCTTCGGTGGAGCTCCTCATGGGGCCACGAAATGATGTATTGGATGGGTGAAACGCAGAACTGAGGTTGGAGGGGGAGGAGGAGGGAGGAAGGAGGGAGGAACGCGGGGACCGTCTCTTCAAAACGAGGACCCGACACCACAGGATGGTTGGGAAACAAAAACAATTAGCGAAGAATAAATAGTCAATGATTTTTGGCCTCTTGGGGCCCTCTCGGGAGTGCTCTTGGAGGTGTCTTGGGGCGTTATTGTTGATCCCCCCAGTGCCCAGTGTTTTTCAAGCCACTCCTGGGGCTCGCACTTTTTTCCAAGGAACGTCTTGGCCCTCAAACTGCGTTTGTCGTCTACCCCCGAGCTACAACAATAACGGCTCCCTGACTTTACTTAGAATACCGCTCTCGCGCTGGATCTCGTCAGTATGTATATAAGAATCGCGCTCTCGCGTCGGACTTCCTTTTTTACATTTGTTGAGACGCCGCGCCCTCGACACTCATTGATCACGCTCTCCCTCTCTCTCGGGACTTCCGCACAATTTGATATGTAATCGCGCTGTCCCTCGAGGCCCTCTCGGTCCATGCAGGACTGATGCTTCAGCGACCCGCCCGCTCGACCCGGCCATCTGGGCCCGCAGGCTAGACCCGCCCGTTAGGGTCCGCCCGCCCGGCCCGCTCGCCTGGTTCTGCCGTTTGTCTTATTGTTCCTAACACCCCTCGTGATAGCGTCTCTTGTCCTGCATCCTTCTCCCTCCCCCTTGTCCCTTCCTCCCTCCCCTCCCTTCCCCTAATGTCCCGTCTGCTTGATTCTTCCAGGGTCCTGGTCGGGGCGTCTGCCCTCCAAGGTGGGCGCCACCATGCTCCACCGCGCTTGCGCCGATCAGGTGCTCCTTGCAGCGGGACGCCCCCTGGCTCCCCCTCGCGCTCGCGTTCTCCGCGCCAGCGCCCTCCCCCCCCCCTTCCCCCGGTGGCGGCCCCGCCCTCCGCGCGGCCCCCCCAAAGGCTGCGCGTCGGGTGGCCCCCCGCCCTGCCCCCTCCGGGCGGCCACGGCCCTGCCGCTCCTGCGGCTGGGCCTCCGCCTCTGCCTGCGCTGGCCCTGTGACTGGGCTGCTGCCCGCTCCGCCCGGCTGTGATGCGTGCGCCGGCTGGGCAGGGCGCCTCTCCGCCCTCGCCTTGGCGCCCTCCCCCGACGCGGCCACAGCGCCGCCATCGGAAGCTGGAAGAGACGATAGCCTGAAGAACATCGAACACTCATTGAACGTCGACGTTACTTTGCCTCTTTGGGCCCTCTTGGGGTCCTCGCGGTGCTTCACTGAGGCCCTTGGGACGTCTTGGGGCTATCTTGGGCGTCTTGGAGCGCTCGTGGGCTGTCTTGAAGGTCTCTTGGGCACTTCCTGGGCCCCTCTGGGCCCGTCTTGGGTCCCCTTGGCCTCCGGAGAAGTCGCGCGAGGAAGTCCAGGGGCGAGCGGGCGCGCCCAGGAAATCTGATAACCTGGGACCCCAGCCCCTAGATGACTAGAACCCCCCAGTCCTGCGTACAGAGAGCAGAGAACACTCCTCCTCCTCCTCCTCCTCCTCCTCGTCCTCCTCACCGCTCCTCCATGAGAGCCTAGGGGCAACCCGCGCATCCACGGCCGCCTACGGCCGTTGGGCAGCAGAGAGCGGCGGGGGGCACAGGGTCGGGTGCGCGGCCTCCGTGGCGGGAGCTTGCCGTGCTCCCCGCCCGCGCATCGCCGGGAACGCGCTCCTGCGCTCCGGGTCTCGAGGGGTGTCGCTTCGATAGAGCGGGCTCCTGGGGTGGCGGGCACGCCTTCCGCGGTGTCGCTTCGATAAAGTGGGCTCCTGGGGTAAGAGGGTGATCAGTGCCCTGGCGGCTGGGAAGCTCCTCTCAGGTTTTCTGCCCTGGCCCGCACCAGACAACCGATCAGATCAGTTTTTGGTGCCGGTTGAGGGATTCATCGCTGGACTTCTGGACGTGGACGAGGGACGATGGGGGAGGGGCAGGAGGGAGGACGCACATGCCATCGTCACGCAGGACACCACACCCTCTCCCCCACTCCCGCCTCTCCTCTTTGTCCCCGCACCGCCTCCTCCCTCCGAGCACCCCACCTTTGAATTAGCGTCGCTGCGGCCAACCAATATGCCCCATCCGCCCGGCGTTCTGTTTGGGTGGAGGTGGCGATGGCGCCGATTGTCGGGTGGCTTGCCATTTGCCCAAAGCTCGACTGTTGAGGATGAGGAAGAGGAGGTCTCATTACATTCACAATTGCTCCCTCCTCGATGTGGAATCCTTTCCCTGTTCTATTCCCCTGCCTCGGACAGCTGCGCCATCCGCGCCGCCCTGACGAGGGGGGGAGGGAAGGTTCGCGCGGAGCTCGCGTCCAGAGACGACGAAGTGGTTGAGATCGACGACCATGGTCGGCAGGTGGCCTCGGGTCTGAAGGGGGAGAGACAGGAGGAAGCCCGCAACACCAGGAGCAGAAAAGGGCCCCAAGGGAGAGGGTGCCTGAGCTCTCTCTTGCTTGCTTCGAGTAGGGCGTCGACCGCACCATCTCTTCACCCGAAAGATGTTTGTCTCGTCAAATCGCATTTGCTTTACACGCAGCGCACATGTCAATCCTATTGGGGGTAAATCAATTCCGTAGTCAATCTCCTACCCTATTGTTTGGCTTCCTGAGACCCCTCCTTTCCGCCCCCGCTTCCTCTCTTCGGCGGCGAAATCCGATCCCTGCCCTCGTCGATCCACGGTGCAGGCGGCTCGATGTGCGGCGGGGGTGAAGGTTCGGAATCCGTCGAACACGTGGCGGAATCCGAAGCCCACCTCCGCCTCCCATCGATTGGGGAGAATCGATGAACGGTGGGGGTAGGGCTCGGATGTCGCCGCCTATCCCGTCTTCAGCCGTCATGCCGGCCACCGAACCCGTGACAGCACAAGGTCTATCTTCCGATTCTGATGTTCGCCAGCGCCGCAGCCAAAGGCATGTGTATTTGTCAGGTTTGCCCACAGAGCGTGGCAGCCATGAACCCCTAACGGTTCCTGTGATCAGATTGTCTCGTTGGATGCATGGCGCTGGGTGAGTGGACAGGCTAGCTCCGGAATTTCCAGTTCTTGTGTGTTGGAGCCTTGTGTTGGCGTATTTGCAGCGTTCTTCATCTTGCCGGAATATTTTCATACGCAATCTTGTTTGTGCGGACGTGCGCTCTCATTGACAGTTTGATGAGTGTAAGCTACAATAATTGTTTTAGAGGGGGAGTGGTGCGGGGGAGTACAGAGCGGGATGCAGATAGAGAGAGAGGGGAGAGAGAACATGCGAGAGAGCGATAGAGAGAGAGAGATAGACAACATTATCTTGGCGAAATACCCAACCATATGCAGTTGTGGGTACCGCAATTGTGAGTATCTTCTTCGGTGAAGCTCCCATGGGGCCACGAAGCGCTGCACTGGGTGGGGGGGAACGCATGCGGGCGTTAGCACTGAGGGCGTCGGTGAAGCTCCCTATGGTACCACGAAGCGTTGTACTGGGTGGGTGGAAACGTCAAACTGGGTAGGTGGGACGCATGCGGGCGGTCCCACTGGGGGCTTCGGTGGAGCTCCCTAGGGGGCCACGAAACATTGTAGTGTGTGGGTGAAAAATGCCAAATTGGTGTGTGTGTGTGTGGTGTGTGTGTGTGTGTGACGCATGCGGGCGGTCCCTGTGGGGGCTTCGGTGGAGCTCCCTGTGGGGCCACGAAACGCTGTACTGTGGGTGGGACGGATGTAGACGGTCTTACTGGGGGCTTTGGTAGCTTCCTATGGGGCCACGAAGCGTTGTACTTGGTGGGTGAAAATGCCAAATTGGGTTTTCGGGACGCATGCGGACGGTCCCAGTGTGGCCGTCGGTGGGGCTCCCTATGGGGCCACGAAGCGCTGTATTGAGTGTGCGGGACGCATGCGGACGGTAGCACTGGGACCTTCGGTGGGGCTCCCTATGGGGCCACGAAACGCTGTACTGGGTGGGTTGGGGTGGGACGCATGCGGACGGTAGCACTGGGACTTTCGGTGGGGCTTCCTATGGGGCCACGAAGCGCTGTACTGGGTTGGTGAAACGCAAGGAGGAGGAGGAGGAGGGGGCCGCGAAACGCTGTACCGGGTGGTGGGGGGGGCGCATGCGGACGGTAGCACTGGGATCTTCGGTGGGGCTCCCTTTGGGGCCACGAAGCGGTGTATTGGGTGGGTGAAACACAGGGGGGGGGAGGAGGGGGCCACGAAACGCTGTACTGGGTGGGGTGGGGTGGGGGGGGGGGCGCATGCGGACGGTGGCACTGGGACCTTCGGTGGGGCTCCCTATGGGGCCACGAAACAATGTACTGGGTGGGTGAAACGCAGGGAGGAGGGAGGAGGGGGAGGAGGGGGAGGGAGGAGGGGAGGAGGAGAGGAGAGGAGAGGAGGAACGCGGGGCACCGTCTTTTCAAAACGATGACCCAACACCACAGGATGGTTGGGAAACAAAGAACGAAAGAGAGAAAGAAGGGGCGAGAGAGAGAGAGAGATAGAGAGAGCGAGAGAGAGAGAGAGAGAAAGAGGGATAGAGAGAGAGAGGAGAACAGAGAGATGGGGAGAGATAGAGAGAGAGAGAGAGCGCGAGAAAGAGAAAGAGAGACAGAGAGAGAGAGAGAGAACGACACACACATATATACATCTATCTATACACACATATATATATATATATATATATATATCGAGAGAGAGGCATAGGTTGAAGGCACCGTGTTAGGAGCATGGGTGATGGATGGATGTGTACGTGTGCGCGTGCGCGTGCGCGTGCGCGCGCGTGTGTGTGCGTGTGCGCGTGCGCGTGCGCGTGCGCGTGTGGGTGTGTGTGTGTGTGTGTGTGTGTGTGTGCGTGTGTGCGTGTGTGTGGGTGTGTGTGGGTGTGTGCGCGCTTGTGTGCGTATGTTTGTGCTTGGGTGTTCGTGCACGCACGGGTGCCCGCTGCGGGCCCGCCGAGGTGAAGAGCCAGGCCTTCGAGCTCGACGAGCCCAGCTGCGGCACCACCAAGCCGGGCGAGTGGTGCTACCAGTCCATCCAGTGGCTGAAGAACGCGGGCCTGAGGAAGCATCCAGACTGGTGCCTCATTCATGTTGTTTCTTATTGTGTTGCCGATCGGCACTGTCTCTTGATTCCCTACCTAGGCTCTGCCTAGAAGGGTTCTTACTCTCTTTGCTTAAAGGGCCGGGCAATGCTAACCGCCCCGGGCGGTTCCCCCAGTCCCCGCCCCGCGGTTCCCCCAGTCCCCTGGGAGTTTTAGCCTTAGCTTTAGCTTTAGCTTAGCTTTAGCTGTAGCTTTAGCTTTAGCTTAGCTTTAGCTTAGCTTTAGCTTAGTGTTAGCTTAGCTTTAGCTTAGCTTTAGCTTAGCTTTAGCTTAGCTTCAGCTTAGTGTTGGCTTAGCTTTAGCTTAGCTTTATATTAGCTTCAGCTTAGATACAGCTTAGCTTTAGCTTAGTGTTAACTTAGCCGTAGCTTAGCTTTAGCTTAGCTTGAGCTTATATGTAGCTTAGCTTTAGCTTAGCTTTAGCTTAGCTGCATCTTAGTGCTAGCTTAGCTGTAGCTTAGTGTTAGCTTAGCTTTAGCTTAGCTTTAGCTTAGCTTTAGCTTAGCTTCAGCTTAGTGCTAGTTTAGCTTTTGCTTAGTGTTAGCTTAGCTTTAGCTTAGCTTTAGCTTAGCTTTAGCTCAGCTTTAGCTTAGCTTTAGCTTAGCTTTAGCTTAGCTTCAGCTTAGCTTTAGCTTAGCTTTAGCTTAGCTTTAGCTTAGCTTTAGCTTAGCTTTAGCTTAGCTTTAGCTTAGATGCAGCTTAGCTTTAGCTTAGCTTCAGCTTAGCTTTAGCTTAGCTTTAGCTTAGCATTAGCTTAGTGTTAGCTTAGCTTTAGCTTAGTTTTCGCTTAGCTTCAGCTTAGTTTTAGCTTAGCTTTAGCTTAGCTTTAGCTTAGCTTTAGCTTAGCTTTAGCTTATCTTTAGCTTTAGCTGCAACTTAGCTTTATCTAGCTTTAGCTTAGCTTCAGCTTAGCGTTAGCTTAACTTTAGCTTAGCTTTAGTTTAGCTTTAGCTTAGCTTCAGCTTAGCTTTAACTTAGCTTTAGCTTAGCTTCAGCTTAGCTTTAGCTTAGCTTTAGCTTAGCGCTAGCTTAGCTTTAGCTTAGCTTTAGCTTAGCTTTAGCTTAGCTTTACTGTTACTACTAATGCTGCTTTCCTAGGGGCTCCAACTCCTAGGTAGGGTCGCACTGGGATAATTTTTCATTTTGTTCTGCATGTCGCTTCTTCTTTCTGTTCGTGACCGTTTTCTTATTCAATTTATTTGCCGATCGGCGCGGGCCCTCGCCCCCTCCCCATTGGAGTAGATATTTGCTGATATTGGCGCCTGTTTCGAGCAGGGGGAGTTGCCTCCCTCACATGACGCACGGTTGCAAACAGGCGCATCAAGAAGAGGTCCAGAGCCAGACACCCCTTCCCCCCCTTCCGCCCAATATCGAAACGCCGAACAAGAAAACGTTCACGTCGCGTTTCCCATGTTCTTGTGCCACTAAGATATTGTGTGGTCGGACTTGGGTGGGGTCAGGCGAAGCTTCGACGACATTTGGCAGCATCCGATGATCGCTGTTTGGACGACCATCAGGTAACTTTATACAGAGGTCCAGGTTCCATTGTTGGTGAGATCTCTTTGGCGTTGTGTCGGCAGCAGCGTGGGGCTTTCTCCAGGGATAGCAATTGGAAGCTGGAGGAAGAGGGACGATGATGGAGGAGAGTGGAGGATGAGAAGTAGGCGAGACGGATATTCAGGAGGAGCAGGAGAGCAGGAGGCGGAGGAGCAGGAGGAGGAGGCGGCGGCGGAGGAGGAGCCAGAGAGACGGGAGCAGGCCCGGTGTGCTCCCGGGAAGGGCCCAAGGCTTAAGGCTTGCGCCTTGGGGGCGAGCTACTCTGCAGGGGCGCGCGGACGAGCAGCGCCCTTCGCCCCTACCAGACCTCAAGGGCTGCGCGAGAAAAATGGCTGGTGGGCGTCGGCTCTCCCGATTTCGGCGCCTGGGCGTCGCCTTCTCGCGGCCCGAGCTTCCTCACTGCCCCCGCCGCTCGGCTCCAGAGCTCCGCGGGGCACCCTGGCGCGGGGGGGGGGGCGACCCGCCCAGCGCGTTCCGCGCCGAGCTCCCTGATGCTCCGCAGCAGTCGTTGGGGTACTGCCACTGCAGGTGCAGCCGGCGCTGCGCCGTGGGGGTCACACGCGATGGCCGTCGCCTCTGGACCAAAGAACAAGCGACACCACCCCACCTACTGCCATCCATGTTGCGCCGCGGCCCAGAGGGGTGGTGGTGTCGTTAGTGTTCTGGTCCAGCCTCCGTGCTGACGCTGGATTCGAGCTGGGCCCGTGGCCTCCTCGGACTCCTCCTCCTCCTTCCTCCTCCTCCTCCTTCTCCTCCCCCTCCTCATTCCTCTATCGCCTCTCTTCCCTTCCTCCCCTCCCTCCTCCCCCTCCTCCCTCCTCCTGCTTCTCCCCCTCCTCCCTCCCCCCTCCTCCCTCCGCCTGCTTCTCCCTCTTATCTTCATCCTCGTCGTCCTCCTCCTCCTCCTTTTCCCTCCCTATTCCTCCTCCTCCTCCTCCTCCTCCTCCTCCTCTCCTCCTCTCCCCCCCCTCCTCCTCCTCCTCCTCCTTCTCCTTTTCCTCCCTCCTCCTCGAAATACGCCTGTCCCGGGGGTGGGTCCGAGCCGAGGAGCCGACGCCCGCCGCGACGTATCTCCAGCGACTGCCGTGCTCAAAACCCTGAGGATGCGAAAGATATGCTGTGCCGTGGCGTGCCCGCTCCGCGCCCGAAGCCCAGCATGCGGAAGGTGTGCCGTGCCGTGCCCGCGCCGTGCGGGTCCCGTGCCGTGCCCGCGCCGTGCCCAGAAGCCCAAATGCGACGCGTGTGCGGTGCTGTGCCGTGCCCAGGCCGTGCCCAGCCTTCAGAGTCTCCTCGCGCAGCGTCAGCGCTTGGGGTCTCCGTGCCGGTGTGGGTCCGGAAGCTTGCGGCTCGTGCGGGTGGTAATGGGGGGGTGACCCACATGGGGGGTGAAGAGCAAGGCCTCAAAGAGGCCGTGCAGGGCCCCTTTTGGAGCCAGTTAGTGCCCAAGAGGGGCCCAACAGGGCCTCTTGAGGGCCTTTTTCTTCACCTCTCATTCGGGTCACCTCCCCATTACCACCCGCCCGAGCGGCCCTCTCTGGGCGTGTTTTGATTTCTGGGGACCTCTGGAGCGCTCCCGAGGATTCCGGCGCCAGAGGAGGCCTGCCGTCCGAGGGTATCCGGAGTTCGTGGTCGTGTGCTTTGCGCACTTGTGTGTGTGTGAGAGTGTGTGTGTGTGTGCGTGTGTGTGTGTGTGTGTGTGTGTGTGTGTGTGTGTGTGTGTGTGTGTGTGTGTGTGTGTGTGGGGGAGTGTGTGTGTGTGTGTGTGTGTGTGTGTGCGCGCTTGTGCGTGTGAGTGTGTGTGTGTGTGTGTGTGCGTGTGTGTGTGTGTGTGCGTGTGTGTGTGTGTGTGTGTGTGTGTGTGTGTGTGTGTGTGTGTGTGTGTGTGTGTGTGTGTGTGTGTGTGTGTGTGTGTGTGTGTGTGCGTGCGTGTCTCGGTCCTCATCGCCTGCTTCGGTGGCGAACGAGGGGGGAACGGAGAAGGGGCGGGACTTCTCAGAAGGCTCGGAAGTCCCCCGTCCTTCTGAGAGGGTTTCTAAGCCTTCCCCGAAGACAGGAACACCTCTCAGAAGGCGCGAGGGCTTCTGAGAAGTCTCGCCGCCTTCTGAGAGGGCCTTCTCCTCACTTTCCCCCCTCGCTCGCCGCCGAGTGTGTGCCTCGGCCCTCATCGCTTGCTTGCACGGTCAGGTATCCCAAGCTCTCCACGCAGTCCAGCATCGAGGACTTCCAGACGGTGTTGCACAAGCAGGGCAAGGTGGTACCCGGGAGAAGGGCCCCCCTCTCACCCGCAACCGCCATTATTGCAGAGTGAGAGGAAACGGAGACGGAGGAGGACGAGAGTAATTTCAGGATGCATCAAGTGTATTGCAAAACATTCCTTCTTCCTCTCTTCCAACTCCTTCCAACTCCTTCCATTTCCTTCCTTCCCTCCTTCCTTCCTTAGCTACACCAAGTGTGCGCTCGAGAGTAACCTCTTCCTTACTTCCTTTCCGCATCGTCCTCCTGCTCCCTCCTCGTCCTCCTCGTCGTCGTCCTTCTCCTCCTCCTCCCTATCCTTCTTTTCCTCCATCTCCTCCTCGTCGTACTCTTCCTCGTCATCCTTCCTCCTCCTCCTCCTCTTTCTCCTTCCTCCTCCTCCTCCTTCTCCTTCCTCCTCTTCTTCCCTCTCGCGGCTCCCTTGGGGGCTGCGGAGTGTGCAAGTGTCGCCACTTTCGTGGGCTCCTGGGAGGTCCAGCGGAATGGCGTAGCACGCAGACCCAAACGAGACCTCGCGGCTTTCTGGGGGGGGGGCTGCGAAGTGCGCAACTGCCGCAATTTTCGTGGGCTCCTGGGAGGTCAGCGGAGTGGCGTAGCACGCAGACCCAAACGAGCCCTTGCGGCTTTCTGGGGGGGGGGTGGGGGGCTGCGCAGTGCGCAGCGGTCGCAATCTTCGTGGGCTCCTGGGAGGTTCCGCGGAGTGGACGTGTACGCGGAGTGGACGTCAGCCAAGACCTCGCGGCTACCTGGGGGGGCTGCAAAAAAGTGTGGGCTGCTGGGAGGTCCAGCAAGCGTTACCGTCAGCGGGGGCCCTCCAAAGGCCCCCCCCTCCCCCCCCCCCTTCCCGCCCTCCCCCGCCTGGGAAACGACCGTTTCCACGAAGTACAGGGCCCGGAAGAACTTAGCGAATACTCGTGCCACATCCACCTGTCGATGCCCCCGCAACGATCAAAGCGGGCTGCAGGTTTCGGATGAGTTGTGCGCCGACCGCAGGCTTTCCCTTGCGTGCCAGCTTTGAATGTGGGGAGAAGGAGCGTGTCCACAAATTGTTGATATGGAAGGATCGCGTCGTGTCGACTGGCGGCGACCCCGCCGCAGCCGTTCAACGTTGAACGCCGCCAGCGACCCAGAATTCGTGGACGTTGAACGATTTGACGTCTCGGAAACGGCCCATCGCTCAAGGTGGAACGGTCGATGTCACGAACCAACGTCGGGGTCGACACGGCACGAACCTGCGGTATTGCCTTTGCCTTCCCAGCGGGGCTACGGCTCCCCTTTGCTCCACCTCCTGCGACTGGCGCCGCCGCCAGGTGGGCTGCCTGTTGCCCTGCAAGGAGGGCGAGACCGCCACGGCGATGCGTCCCCCTCGGCCAGGGGCGAGGAGGGAGGGAAGGGGGAGGAGGGAGGGGGAGGGGAGGCGAGGAGCCAGGGAAGGGAGGGAGGGCGAGGGGGGGGGGAAGAGTGGGGGGAGGAGGGGCGGTGGCAGGAAGGAGGGGGGGGGCGAATGACAGAGCAAGGAGGGCGGGGGAGGAGATAGGAGGATGGGATGGGGTCGAATGGGATGGGATGGGATGACGATGCAGATGCTGATGCCGATGATGCCGATGACGACGACGCTGATGATGCTGATGCCGATGACGATGCTGCTGCTGATGAGGATGCTGCGCTCTATGCTCCTCATGATGATGAGGATCAAATGATGACGACGATGATGATGATCATGCTGCTGCTGATGATGATGATGATGATCACGGTAATGATGATGATGATGATGATGATGATGATGGTGGTGGTGGTGTTGATGATGAGGATGATTATGAAGATGATGGTGAATGTAATGGTGATGGTGATGACGATGATGATGATGCTTTGGTGGTGGTGATGATGATGATGCTAGTGAAGATGATGATGATGATTATGATGATGGTGATGATTATGATGATGATGACGATGACGATGATGATACTGACACTGCTGCTGCTGATGATCATGATGGCCATGGTGATGCTGATGATGATGATTCTGATGATGACGATGATGATGATGATGATGATGATGCTGATGCTGATGCTGATGCTGATGCTGATGCTGATGCTGATTATGATGGTGGTTCTAATGGTGGTGATGCTGATATGACGAGGATGCTGATGAAACTTACGGTGATCTGATCATGATGCTGATGATGATGAAGATTGTGATGCTTCCGATGATGATGACGATGACGATGATGATACTGATACTACTGCTGATGATGATGATGATGATGATGATGATGATGATGATGATGATGATGATGATGCTGATGATGATGATGATGATGATGATGATGATGATGATGGCGATGATGATGATGATGCTGATGATGGTGATGATGATGATGATGATGATGATGATGATGCGGATTTTGATGATGATGATGATGATGATGATGATGATGATGGTGAGGAGGAGGAGGAGGAGGAGCAGGAGGAGGGGGGGGATGCCGACGGTGGCGCTGATTAGGATGCTGAGGAGGATGATGATGCTGATGGTGAGGATGAGGATGGTGATGCTGGTGATGCCGAGGATGGATGACGCTTACGATGATGAAGAGTTTGATGCTGATGATGATGATGGCGATGGTTATGATGATGACGATGACGATGATGGTGCTGATGATACTGCTGCTGCTGCTGATGATGATGATGCTGATTTTGATGATGATGACGATGGTGATGCTGATGATGATGCTGATGCTGACGACGATGATGATGATGATGATGATGATGATGATGATGACGGAACTTATGCTGATGATGGTGGTGATGATGATGATGATGATGATGATGATGATGATGATGATGCTACTGGTGGTGACGATGTCGCTGAGGATGATGATGATGGTGATGATGATGACGATGACCTCGACGACCACGAAAATGATGATGATGGCACTGATGATAATGGTGAGGAGGCTGACAATGATGGCAATGCTGATGATGACGGTATGATGGTGATGATGATGGTGATGTTGGCGATCATGATGATGCTGATGATGATGGCGATGCTGATGACGCTGATGATGATGAATCTAATGATAATGAAGATGACGCTGATGATGATGATGATGCTGATGATGCTCGTGATGCTGATGATGCCGATGATACTTCTGATGATGGTGATGATGATGATGATGACGATGATGATGATGACGGTGATGTTGATGGTGTTGATGATGATGAATGCAGATCATTGCCATTATTACTATGATTGGGATCAGGCTGAGGACGTGAACTATGAGGATGTTTATGCTGATGCTGTTTAAGCTGATTAGAATGATGAGGATGCTGATGCTGATGATGATAATGGTTAGTATCATGATATTATCGTTCTTATTATGCTGTGAACGATTGTGGTGATGACGGCGACGATGATGATGATGACGATGCTGATTTGAACACGATGATGATGCTATTGATGATGCTGATTATGCTGATGATGCTGACGGTGCCGCTGATTAGGATGCTGACGAGGATGCTGATGCTGATGGTGAGGATGAGGCTGTTGACGCTGATGGTGGTTATTATGGTGGTGATGCTGGTGATGATGCCGATGCTGATGATGACGATGACGATGACGATGATGATACTGATGATACTTCTGCTGCTGATGATGGTGGCGATGGTGATGACGATGATGATGCTGGTGCTGCTGCTGATGATGACGATAATAATATTGATGGTGCTACTGATGCTGACGATGAGGAGGATGATGATGGTGATAAAGGTGACGATGCCGAAGACGATGATGATGATGATGATGATGATCATGATGACGATGTCCATGATGATGATGATGCTGAGGATGCTGGTAAGGATGATCAGGATGGTATGATGATGATGCTGATGCTGGCGACTATGATGATGATGATGATGATGCCGATGATTATGGCGATGCTGATCACGCTGATGATGATGCTGATGACTATGCTGCTGATGATGATGCTGAGGCTGATGGTGATAATGGTGACGATGATGCAGTTGATGATGATGATGATGCGGATGAGATTGGTGATGATGGTGGTGGTGATGATGATGCTGTTGACGATGCTGATGATGACGACGATGATGATTACGATGATAATTGTGATGATGCTGACGATGATGATGACGATGATGCTGACGACGATGATGATGCTGATGCTGATTATGATGGTGATGATGAGGATGCTGATCAGGCTGATTATGATGGTGATGATGCCGATGGTGGCGCTGCTGAGGACGCTGCTGATGAGGATGATGCTGATGGTGCTGCTGATGGTGATGCTGATGGTGCTGCTGATGGTGGTGATGCTGCTGATGGTGCTGATGCTGATGAGGATGAGGATGGTGCTGCTGATGGTGGTGATGACGAGGATGCTGAGTACGCCGATGATGATGAGTATGCTGATGCTGCTGCTGCTGGTGATGATGATGGTGATTGTGATGCTGACGATGATGCGGATGAGGAATCTCTGGTTGAGTGATTGAAGTGCATGGTGATGAGTATGATGATGATGATGACGATGATGCTTATGATGCTGCTGATGCTGGCGATGATGATGATGATGCTGACGATGATGATGCTGATGATGATGATGATGCGGTGATGGTGGTTACGATGGCAACGGTGATGATGAGGATGCTGGTTGTGGTGGTGCGGACGATGTTGCTGGTGATGCTGGTGCTGATGATTACCATGCTGATGACGGTGGTGAATCTGATGATGCGGATGAGGCTGAGGAGGATGAGCTTGCATAATCTAATGGTACTGACGAGGCTGGGGATGAGGACGAGGGTGAGGGTGAGGATGATAATGATGATGCGGAGGAGGAGGAGGATATGTATGCGTAAGGGCATCAGGGGGAAGAACAGGAGGGGCAGAAGGGATGACGCTGCTAATGATGCTGATGATGATGACGACGATGGCGATGAGGAGAATGAGGAGGATGAAACACGGATGTGGAGGAGGATCAAGGAGAGGCTTGTCAGGAGGAGGAGGAGGACTGGTGTTGCTCATGATTCTGATGATGATGAAGGTGCGTAGGATGGTGCTTTCGATGATGACGACAATGATGATGCTGATGTTGCTGATGCTGATGGCGATGCGGATGGTGATGATGACGATGATACTTATGATGTCATTGGTTTTGTTGATGGTGATGATGAGGCTGGTGGTGGTTGTGATATAATGGTGGTGGTGGGGATGACGATGATGGTGTTGACGATGCTTGTGACGATGACGTGTGTTTGCGATGTGAATGACGGCGCTGATGTTTTTGATGCGTGGTGACGAGGACAGTGATGATGCTGAGGTTGATGCTGAAGGTGATGATGATGCAGATGATGATGCTGATGCTGACGATGCTGATGTTGATGCTGATTTTCATGCTGATGATGCTGCTGATGATGCTGATGATGCTGATGCTGATCGTGATGCTGCTGCTGATGATGCTGATGATCATGATGATGATCATGATGATGATGCTGTTCATGGCGATGCTGATACTGATCATGATGTTGATGACGACCATGATGCTGGTGGTGGTGGTACTGGTTGTGGTGGCGATGAGGTGGTTGTTGACGATCATTGTGATGGCGATGACGATGGTGCTACTGCTACTGCTGCTGCTGATGATGATGATGATGATGCTGACCATGATGATGATGCTGATGCTAATGTAACTTCTGATAATGATGATGAGGAGGAGCAAGAGAAGGAGGTGGAGGAGTAAGACGATGATGATGATGATGATGATGATGATGATGATGATGATGATGATGATGAGGATAATGGTAATGTGACTGATACTGTGGGAGAGGATGATGCGGATGATAATGATGATGCTGTTGGTGGTGATGGCGATGATGATGATGATGATGCTGACGATTCTGATGATGTGGTTATTAATGATAAAGTGTTTTTGATGATGCTGATGTTGACTACGATGATGCTGATGACGATGGTGATACTGATGATTATGATGATGATGAAGAATCTTGTGCTGATTACGACGATGGTTGTGATGCTGATGCTGATGTTGATGCTGCAGATGATGAGGATGGTGGTGGTGGTGATGATGATGATGCTGATTATGCTGCTGGTTCTGATGATGATGATGCTGTGGATGATGATGGGGATGATGATGCTGCTGATGATGATGACGATTCCCATGGTGATGATGCTGCTGATGATGCTGATGATGCTGATGGTGATGATGATGGTGGTGGTGATGATGATGATGATGGTGCTGCTGCTGATGATGGTGATGATTAAGATGATGATGCTGCTGATGATGATTATGATGATGATGGTGGTGGTGGTGGTGATGATG